GACCTCGTAGTTGTTAAACAATTGTATTGATGGTAAAATCAATAAAGTTGCTTAGGAAAGAGTTACGTTTTAAAACAGATTTTAGTCTGAGTAACTCTCGATGTAAAGTTCACAGGAACTGGAGATACGGTGTGCACGAAACGCAAGACATTTCACAAGGTGTTAAAGTGGGTATACAGTCCGGTAAAGGTGGGCTTCTAATAACAACCAACATCAAAACGTCCTTGTTTGTTGGACACATATATATGTGTCAATAAAAGGTAAAACAGGGCGCTGTTTGTCTTCCCAGGTGAAATTAATGTTAAGATATTTATAATTCAAATATTTTACAAATTTCACTAATTGATCTTCATTTTTGAATATTATAAATATGTCATAAACATAGCGATGGTAAATAAACGGTGTGAACTCAGCAGGACAATCTCTCAACCAACTATTCTCATGAAAACATTAGCCTTTACAGGCGCTAAGCTGCACTCCATCAATTTGTTCATAAAATTCACCATTGAACTGAAAAACAGACTTTTTCGTAGAAAATTCCATCAGTTGTCTGAAAGATTATCCATTAACACATTCCTTGTCTTTGAAAACAATATTAAGAGTCTCATCTAGGGGAAGGCTAGTGAACAGAGATTCAATATCTAGACTGGCTAAGTAAACATCTTCATCAAACCTGAAATTTCTACAATTATCAGAAAAATCAAAGCTGTCTTTCACTGTGTAATTATTACAAATAAAATCAATTAAAAACGAACATAATAATTTGGAGAGTTTGTTACTAAAGTAACCTATTTCCATATAGGTCGTTTTAACTACAAGCTCTCCTCTTGAGGAGGAAGCGAAACGCCATAATCAACAGTCTATCCACAAGTTCACCTCCAGCATGTATTCAGACCTTTATCAAGAATTCAGAATTTTATGCAGGTTTAAAAATCATATCCAGTTTTCTGAACAGTCACGTGCTACCTACGAATTATGGCACTCAAAGGGTAGGGGCGCTTATGTCAGATCAACTGTTCTCTAATCCTAGGTTCAAAGACAGTTCAAGTATTGTTCGGCATACATTAATTAAGTGAATGTGATGTGGTCCCAATCCTCAATATGTTCAAAGTAATCTGTAAAGCCGAGAACGAGAACAGATGAAGAAAACACTTTTATTCTTTCAAATGAAGCCTAGATTAATTAAACAGCTACCGAACTTGAACTCGCAATTTAAGTAATTAAACTTTTTTCCTCTTTGGTTTGCGGATTATAGAAGTTTGTGTATTTTTATAATGGGAATTTACATATCCATCGAAAAAAGTAAAAACATATATGTTGATATGATCTTGATGTGAAGCATCAGGAAAATACATTATATGCTGAAAACTATTTTCACTTATCCACCCAGCCAGTTCTATACTTCTAAGCATTTATGCATAAAATAACCATTCAAACATGAGCTAAAACTTCAAAGACAGATCTATACAAAACACCTTTTCAAACATGTGAACTGTTACCCAAAGATTCTTCATCAACAGACTACAAGACCTAATGATGTGACTGAAAAAAAAACACTTTGGACCATTTTTGAAGTATTTTAAGCCTGGTATAAATTGATCTGGTGGAGAAATGGGCTATCCAGCAGACCACGTTTGCAGGTAAAGGCATATTCCACCATGGCATCAGCAGATTGTGGAGGTTTCCTTGTAAACAAGTGTATCGAGGGACTATCGAGCAAGATGATGAAACATTACCTAAGAGTGAGAGATATTTTGATAAAAGCGGTATTTGTGGTGAATAAATTTGAAGTAATAAATTCGAACAAGTTAAGAGTGAGAAAGAAGAATGCAGACCATGGAGTTCCTTAAATGGTAAATCAGCTACAAACACCGTCAGCTGTATTTAACAAAATAAAAACTAATATGTTAATATTGTCCATTTACCCAGGAACTTCAATACAAGTGGAATATAGTATATTTGTATGTTTCGAGATAATTTGTGTTCTACCAAATTTATAAAATATAGTTTGGGTGATTATTTTTATTCTGGAATATTTTGCTTATTTCAACGTCAGTGATTAACACAGAATTTCTTTTTTTTTGTGGTTCTCTATATTAATATTTACTGTATTTTCCAAATTATTTTGTGGGTTTAATGTGTAAGAAATGAAGAATCTTTTTGTGAAATTTACAAAATACATACAGAAAACACATTTTCCAGAATCACGTTTTCTTTTTACTTTAATTACACCCGTAGTCAGTAGTAAACAACAAGCAGTTGTGTAGTTTTTCTTTTTCTTTTGTATTGCATGGTATTCATTATACCAGTCTCAAAGGCTTAGCTACAAGCAACATGTTAAACATCAAAACTATTGATAAAGTTTTCAAACACTTTATAAAATTTAAGGGGTTACTAATTTTTTGCATTAAATCTTGGTCAATCATAACGAAAGAAAAAATTGGCACTACCCTTAAATATTATACATAAACTATTCGTGTAGGACTGTGTGGAATCCAGAAGGTTCCGGTAGTACATAGAAAACTAATACAAATAAAAATGCCAGACAGAATAAATTATATTCTGTTCGTCCGTGATGCAAGTAAATATTTGAGTATGTTTATTTGTAAGTTAGGCGTACATTAGTTTCGGTTGAAACGTTATTATACCCTATTAGTGAACGTAACCAGTGTAAAATGCTACGAGAGAAATAAAGTAATTCATTTTCGTTAAGTGGAATGGATTTCGCATAATTTTCACTAAACAATCTTAAAGAACTCGGCCAGTTTTAGAGTTCATAAGAACAGTGTAATTATCTGTTATGTCAGAACAGTTAAACTTTTATCTTTCAAAAGACGCTGCAGCAAAACGACTGTCGTCTTCATGCACGACGTTTTTATTGGGTTTTTTTCATCACAATTCCAATTATTCGCACAAAGCTACACAAGAATCATATGTTCTAACTTTCCTTAATTTTAAATTGATAGAATAAAGCAACGATTTTTTTGTCTGTAGCCTGCAGGCTCTCTTCAGGTCGTCCTTAAAAAGGAAGAGGCAGCGTAATGCATTGTGGTCCGACGATATAAAAAAAAACTAGTGAAAAAAGAAGGGAAGGCAACCAGTCAACAGCGCACCCACCGCCAACTTTTGAGCAACTCTAATCAAATAGTATAATTTGATCATCACATTTATAATGCATCCAGGCCTCAAGATGTGTGTGTGATTTTATTGCAAAGAACACTAGTCATTTACAGTCCAGCATACCTAATACCCTAATACCTTTCACATCTGTCCGTATGAGAGAAATCCATGACAGTTTTTAGAATACGCATTTAATTAAACATGGTAGCATCCACCACAATCATACGAACACCAAATATTTACATAAGATAAAATTGAAAAGGAATAGGAACCAGTATTTAAGACGAGCATGTTGACGACTTTTCGTAAATAGCTATCAACAGGCAGACTTAAGCCTTGTAGAAATTGTAATGTTTATAAATGCGACACTGAGGCAGCTTGTATTTGTAAGTTTATTTAAATTTTTATAGGTATTCCTTACCATAGCCCCCCCCCCAGTGGCACAGCGGTATGTCTGCGGACTTACAACGCTAGAATCCGGGTTTCGATACCCTTGGTAGGCAGAGCACAGATAGCCCATTATGTAGCTTTGTGCTCAATTACAAACAAACAATCCATACCATATAAGAAAAAAAGTAATATTAGAAAAGTAATTCTGTGTTTCTTATTCAAGATAAAACAAAATCTAGGTTGTTCAGGAATTTTCTATACCCAATGAATTAAATATCCCTGAAAAGTGTTCAGTGGCGTCCTTACTTATTTCGCTTTGTTTTCCTTTTCACTTACTGATTGAAAGATAGAGTGGTTAGTGTTTTCAAACTCATCGATTACTAAGTCATACCTATATAAAATTAAAAGAATGGCAGACCTCCTACAAAATCAGAATTTTCATTAAAATAATTAAGCTTTCATTCAAATGTATACCTTAAGCTGAAATTTATTTTCTCATTTTGTAAAATGACAAGAACCAGTGAGGGAGTGGGGCAATTATTTTCCTAAAAGAAGAGGCAAACAGGAAGGGCAGCGATCACCCTCAAGTACAAGAAACCTTATGTGGACCAAAACAACATTCAAATTTCCATTTAGAGACATTAAGTTTTCATCCGTGAAAAATTTCAAAAAAAAAATCTATATATATATCGTATAATATCACTTTAGTTTGTCACTAGTTGTGGTCTGGCATGGCCTGGTGTTTATGGTACTTGCCACGTAATTTGCGGGTCGCAGGTTCGAATCCCCGTCACCGAACATGTTCATCCTTTCGACCGTGGGAGCATTTAATGTGATGGTCAATCCCACTATTCGTTGGTGAAAAAATAGCCCAAGAGTTGGCAGTGGGTGGTGTTAACTAGCTGCCTTCCCTCTTGTCTGTCACTTTTAAACTGGGGACGGCTAGCACAGATAGCTCTCGAATAACTTTGTGCAAAAGCATATTCAAACCAAGCCTAACCAAACATGCCATTAGTTACTCAATAACAACAACCTTTATGGGTAAGTAATATCCCACAATTTTTGATTCATTAAAAATCCCTTCCCTGAAAAAAAGAAAAAAAAGTTCTAAGAATTAACATTTCTAAAACAACGTCTAGTTTTGATAAGAATAAATAAGCCTGCTTGAGTAAACACTGTAGTCTTGCTCTCTCAACATTTCGTTATTATAAATTGAGTATTCCAGATGTGTTTATAATTCTATATCTTGCTCGACACGTGTTTTAAACAATGCCACTACTTCAGGTTACCGTGTAAAATCGCATATATGTTGTTGTTTTTCTAATTTCTAGCATAATGACAATAATTATGAGCCGTGAGTTATGGTATTGTTTGTTTGTTATGGATTTCGCGCAATGCCACACGAGGGCTATTTGCGCTGGCCGTCCCTAATTTAGCAGTGTAAGACTAGAGGGAAGGCACCGCCAACTCTTGGGATATTCTTTTTACCAACGAATAGCGGGATTGACTGTCACATTATAAAGCCCCCACGGCTGAAAGGGTTTGGTGTAACGGGGATTCGAACCCGCGACCCGTAGATTGTGATTCGAGCGCCCTAACCACCTGGCCATGCCGTGCAGAGTTACAGTAATTACGATATTCAGATTATGGTGTATATATGTCTTCTCTTGGCTAGCGAACCACGCAAGAACAAAAACTATATAAAAGTTATAAAAGTAATAATAATGCAGAATTTTTCACCATAATAAAAAAAAAATCCAGAAAATGTACGTGTGTTAATAAATGCAAATAAAATTATACCAATTAGAAATGAACATTTAAAACTTCAATGTACAGTTACTGTAATTTTAGACGTTTATGACAAGAACAATAATTTGTTACATCTAAAGTTTAGAAAAGCTCAAAATATAATATGTGAAGAAGATCTTTTAAAGAAGATCAGCATCTTTATCTTATATTTTTAACAGTTGATCATATATATTCTTCAAAACAATTAGCTCTTAAAATGAAAATTAAAAAACATCAATGAAGTCAATTAAGAAAAGTAAAACCATTATTAAAATTTCTAAATATATAGTATAGTAGTCAAAAATATATAATTTCAATACATCATATGCATGATTGTTCATTTAAAAATGTCTGGCCAGAATTCGGGAATTTTAGTTCCTTCGAATTTCTGAATGCATTTTCTTCTGAGTCGTTCTGTTTGTTCCGGGGTAAAATGGTTTTTCCAATCACCAACAATTCCCTTTCTCACAAAGTTAAGTTCTGATTGTGGTTTAAAGTTAATGGTTTTCATGTAATTAAGGATGTGTTTTAATCCTTCAGGAATGTTTTTATTATCTATATCTTCATCACTGTGTACTGACCCAAAGAAACTCCCAAAGTGTTTGTTGGTAGATTTCTTCATGTACTCAACAGAAGTCTGAAGAAGTATGTTCTCCATCATTTGTACATCCTTCACTAACATGTCTTCATACTCTTGATCTAGAAACTTGGCAATGTTTAAAACATCAGTTCTGGTGTCGGCTTTCATTTTCTCATAGACAAGAAATAGCACATTAGGATCCTTTCTATGTTCATACCAGGACAGGAGATGGTCGAAGTAATCCCCAAATTCGGTTTGGCCGTTGATGAAAATCTCAAAAAAGTCTTCAAATGCTCCATCCGAGTATTGGTATATCGGTAATGTTCTACTGTGATGAAAAAGAGAGACGCAGCAGTCGAAGGGATTCCTTGTTATGTAGATGTATTTGGCTTGAAGAGAATAAGGCTGGAGATCAAATGGAAGATGAGTTTTGATAGCTCCAGGTCGAGGCATTGTCTCTACAACACCAGGTCCTGTAAGTTCCATAAAGGGACTTAGCTTTTGAAACTCTTCAAAACTTTCTGGTGGTAGCCCTCTTTTTAAAATGTTAATTACAATATGTTGTGTCCAAGTTGTTCCACACTTAGGAAAAGTCACAATAAATACATCATCAGCTTTCGGTTTATAACGGAGAGAATCTCGAAGGCATTCTGGTGAAAATGCTTTGGGAATTTTCAGTCCTTCAACATCTTGGTAGTCAGGACCCTTAGGCTTGTACATTGTCTTTTGCTTCGAACAAATTTGAAAAATGCATATTGTACTTTTATGTAACAAAGGCAAAACCATTAGAATATTTTCCTAGAGTTCTCTCATAAAAACATATTAATAAGACAATTTTTGAAATCGGTATGTATTCTGTGGTTATAAAATTGTTCTTCGTTTTAATAAAGAAATATAAACATTAGCATTTTTTAGTTATTTCCACGCCTTCGATGTTCTGCTTTCGACCTATCTACAAAAACAATATTAGCATAACAAATAATATTTTGAAGTTCAACATTTTTTATTAAAGAAAATTAGTTTGTTTTTTAATCGTAAAGCTTAAACAAGGAGTAAATGAAAGGACATCATGATAGTATCGTAATATGTCATTATTCCTTATAACAATCGTATTATTTAAAAAGAAACGTATATCATAGAAAATCTTAAGAAAATAAGATGAACTAGAGATCCTAATATACCCAAATTATATAATAAAGTGAAACTAATCTCGAAAGATAGTTAAAATACGCTCAGTTATAAGAGTACGATAGCTTAATTGTGAAAAGTAAAATTGTATTTCACCCTGTCTTTAATGAAAAAGTACCACTAGTTCACAAGCTCATACAGGAAGTCGTTTACCATTCATTCTCAGAAGAATTCTTTTATTCCTCGTTATTTAGTATTGATAACCATTCGAGTAAGAGAAATTAACGCCTTTCTAATATTAGTGGTTATACGATTACAGGACTAACGTTAGCGAGAGACTGCCTCCTCAAAATAATGCCGAATATTAATCTAATTTTAGATTTACTTTAGATTTGGTGCCATTATAGGTCTTATACCCCCACCCCCACGCACAAAAAACACATACACAAAGTTAAATTGGAGTCGGGACCGTTTGATTCTTAAAAGATGATTTTACAAAATGATAAAGAATTTTGAAAAGACTTGTACGAATAAATAGATAATTCATAAGTATGCGTCGTTAAAATTACTCTGGAAACATTATGCTGTAATATTTACATATACTTTATGATTACTTTTTACTGTAAATATTGTAATATATATATATATTATGTATATATATTATGTTATATCGGTTTCATTGTAAAACTGACTGTGATTTTCAACTAGTTTTGCAGAATAGGATAT